GAGGATATTTGTGGAGACACACTGCTGGCAGCAGGCTTTCTTGAAGCATCAGGGAGAAGTCTTTGTCCTGGCTGCCCTGAATCCAAGATCCTCTCTCCGGACAGGAAAAGGGGGCGAAACGCATGTCTGTCGTCAATCTGGATATTATTTAAAAAAAAAAAAAATCAATTTCATTTTTAAAGAAACTTTTGATCAAACAATCTCTTGCCTATATTCATCTCTTCTTCAGTGCAGACCTACTCCATATTTGCTAAACCCATCTGCCATACTGACTGCACAGACTTCACCTAGTCCTCCAAAAAGTGCGGCATGCATTTGATACTTTTGACTTTGGTAACTTCTATAAATATAACGTAAACAAACACATACAAACCTTCCAAACTTCATATCAGTCTCATCTTTACGATCGGTTTCTTTTGGGCCATAAACGCAGCACATCAGCTTGGTGCGTCCAGCCTCGATGTACGCGGAGCCTTTAGCCTGGCTCACAAGCCCACACCGGACAAACACGGGTCGTACGTCCACCTGATCCCGCTGTCGACCATCCGCTCTGGGCCCGTGGTTCTGCACATCGACCACAGGTTTGGTCAAAAACAGAGACGGACTGTGAGACACTTCTGGCCCTCGTACACGTTTGGTGTCAGTCGGCATGTCCACAGTACGAATAGACGTTAACACTTCACAACAGGATCAGTAGCGTGTATACAGGTACTGCATTGATTTATGTCGTTCCAGAAACACAGCGCGTTGACAACGATGGTTCCGTTTCAGACTGATACCAAAAACTATACCGCTGATAAAATGCCAAGGAAGTTTGATTTAAAATAAAAAAAGAAGTTTGTTTTTAATGATAAAAATGTTTGATTATACAATTTAAACATGTGTTAAATTGTTTTAATTCCAAACTACCTGGTTTTAAAATTATGTTTACGAATTTGTGGAAACTATGGAATAGGAAACCGAAACAATCCTAGTAGAAGATTTATAGTGAAGGTGATTTGGGGGTTTTGGGTTTTGTTTTTTGTTGTTTTTTGTTTGTTTTGTTTTTTTTGGCTTAAAAAATTCCTTCTCAACTAAAAAATAGTTACGTCAGCCTAGCAATTGACAAGCAAAGCTAAAAAGATCGTTTCGTAAAAAGCATATTTTGAAATGTAAATTGTTTATCTTAATAGAAATCTTAAAGTGTAATGTATTATTTAAATACATCTGTAATAATGAGCACCATTGGTGTTTTAAATTCTGTAATTAGACATTAAAAACCTGTCCTAAGCAACCGTAACAAATCTGTTCATATGTATCGACAGAGGTAACAATACCTTAACGAGTGAACTTATTAAATCAACAAATGTTTGTGTAAAATCCTTTATTATCAAGAAAATAATAAAACTCCATTGACATAAATGTCTTTTCCATTGCATCAGCCAAACCGGGGAAGCTGCACCAATGATGCGGCGAGCTGGGTTGTGACTGCCAGTAAAGCTGTCCAATCAAAATCGAGGAATTGTAAAACCGGTTTAATGGCCCAATAGGCATTAAGGGTGGGCGTGTTCACTCTACTTTCCTTCTCGTCCAGCGGCGTGGGCTAAAAGCACTGTGTTTTGGGAGCTGTACCCGATTCATTCTGCAACCAGAGCGACTTCCGTGAGTATTTTAGCCGTCAAAGGCGTTGTTTACATCATTACTATTCGTGTCGCCGTTTTAGTAAATTTCTGTCAGTGCCGTGTGCTGATAGTTCACACCAGAGGTTGGACACCCGGGAGTAGCATGAGTGGCTAACTTTTCCTTTGCTAACGTCAGTCTGTCAGACTGGTGCTACTGCAGTTTCATAAAGCAACATCAGGTTCTCTGGAAGCACATTTAGGATCCGGATATCACGACGAACAGTACATTAAACACTAATTTCAGTCGCTGGACAATTATTTACATCGTAATGGCACAATTACAATTCTAGTTGCAACCTTTAAATATCTAAAAAGCCTGTTTTATTGCATATACTTTGCTGAGTAAGCTGAATTTTTAATAGAGCCGTTGGAGTATTAGCATAACTTCATTTTTATTTATAAATCTACTTTTTTATATTCATGTGTTTTACTTTTCAAAAAAGAACAATGAGTTCCATTACATCAATGGTATTCAAGGCATATTATTGAATATTGTTTCCATAGATAAAGGTATAATTTAATTGAATAGTTATCCACTCAGTTTATGGGTGACTAGCTGATTGGATAATTAGTTTAATGTATCACTCAGGCTAAAAATAATAAAGATATTTTGTATAGAACAGTGTTAGTATTTCAGGAAAACAGTTTGAAATTTGCCAGGACTTAAAGTATTAAGTCATTTGTGTTTATTTAGTAAATGTAACTCACAGAGTTCGCTCTCTGTCTGCTAATGGTATTATCAATAATAACATCCTCACCACACAGAGAAAAATTTCCATCCCATTACCTCAAAGTCTTGACTTCCTCTGGTTGCCATCATAGTGAATTGGTAGCCACGATGGGGAGAGCAGCTGTTTACCGTCCCCCGTCCGGCCCCAGGGAGCTGCATGTACCAGTTGTGTATGTTGTTGCCTTACTGTCTACAAACCAGTGTTTCATGGGAGTTGGTCTTTAACAATTACAGGTGTTTTACTGTTCTGTAGGATGTTGTGGTAAGGACTGTTGGTAACAAGCCAAGCGTTCAACAACAAACCTGTGGTCTTCTAAACTTACATTGAAACTTTTAAATGTACACTCCTGAGATATGAGATTAGAGATTAGATTGAATCACTGAGGTTTGTCATTCTGCTGCGGTGACTAAGACTCTGTTGTCTGTTCCATGTGACTCTGTTGACAAGGCTTCTCACCATAGTAATTTTCTGCTGCCTTGCTCCGTGGATTTGTACTCGCCTCTTTTAATTTTGGCAAATGTTTTATGTGAGGCATCAGAGCTGAGTCTCCTCTGTCAGTTTTAAAGCCAAGACCAGAACTCCAGGCAGGGCCAAACCACCTGTGTTGTGCTGATGCAATATTGCAGTATTATGATGCTGCTGCTGCTATGTTGTCAGTCATAACCAAGACTGACTGACTGACACTTGTCGGCCTGATTGTAGTGTAGCGCAGCAGGAAAATCTTCCCAGGCCGTGCAGGATTCCTGATCTGCTGCTGCCAGTTTACGAGAAGAGCCAAAGGCTAGTTTTGGAAACCACAGAACACCTCTGCTTCAGAAACCTGTTGGAGCACGTGGAATTTTGAACTGACTCAATGACGAAGGGAGGAGTTGACTTAATGGTCGGACGCTAATTGATGGTTGTGGACAGGAAATGGTCGTCAGCAGCTTCAACTTTCTGTCTTTTATCTGTGGAATTGATCTGTCACTTTGAAGTTCAGCCTTAAAATAAGTGTCTTGAGCTAGTTCACTGTTACAAATAAATTAGCTAGCACTATCAGCCGAGATCATGCGTATGATTTATTTTAGTATTTTAAGTATTAGCTTTTACAGGATTAAAAATGGGAAAATGGTTGTATATAAAAATTAAAGCCGCTAGATGGCAGCATTGCTAATCAGTCTGTAATATAAAACAAGTTTTAGGAAAAAGAAATTTTTCATCCAAGCATATTATCTTTTTTTTTGCAGCCTCAGTTTTGCAGCGGCCATTAGCGATTCAGACCTTGACAACAATATATGTTGTGAAGCAACGTTAACCTGCGACTGATGAACGTTTTTGTTTTTTTCTTTTTCTTGTGCGTTTCTCTCAGAGATCTGAATCAAGATGGACTCCTCTTTGAGTGCAGCTCAGATTCGCGAGAAGTTCATCGACTTCTTCCGCCAATATGAGCACCAGTACGTCCACTCGTCAGCCACCATCCCTCTGGACGACCCCACACTGCTCTTTGCTAATGCTGGCATGAACCAGGTACGTACGCCATACTGCAGTATTTTAATCTTTTTTTTTAAATTTTTTTTAATAATTGTACCTTCAGCCATGTACCATCAGCCACCCGTCATTGGAAGTCAACCATATACCATTCAGATACAACTCCGTTCTTGTCCTAATGCATACAGGAAGCAGACTGTCTTGTACAAATATTTGCTAAGTTTCACTACAGTAAATAACATGTAAAAGTAAGAACACGTTTCTATTATTTACTAAACTGAAAGTGTTGGTTAGCTTATCTTCCCAAGGTAATTGTGAATTTGGGTCTGATCTAATCTAATCAACAGGGAGTGCTGTTAGTCACTACACGACAGAATTCCATTCCCACCAATTCATATCTGAGTCTTCATTAAAACATTTCCTGATTTCTGGTCTGCGATGGTGTCGACGGGGGGCCTGAGTCTCTCCAACTCTCCTTGACTTGACACTGACTCTTGAATTTCCTGAATTTTCGTAGTTCAAGCCTATCTTCTTGAACACCATCGACCCCTCCCACCCCATGGCCAGACTGCGTCGTGCTGCCAACACCCAGAAGTGTATCCGTGCCGGGGGCAAACACAACGACCTGGACGACGTGGGTAAAGATGTGTACCACCACACCTTCTTCGAGATGTTGGGGTCCTGGTCCTTTGGGGACTACTTTAAGGTAACGGCTCGCTGTTTGTCACTGTTACTAATGTTTTGGGGATTTTTTTTTTTTTTTTACCAAGTTGTTACAGTTTGTGATTAGTTGTTCCAGATTTTCCAGGACAGTGTTGCAGTGACCTGGGAGCTATAAAAGCTGCCAGCACCAGTCAGCCATAAACCCAGTCTCATCAGTGTCATTTTGCCCCCCCACCCTGTGTGAACAGCAACTCGCCTGTGAGATGGCCTTAGAGCTGCTGACCAAGGAGTTCGGTATTTCCATCGATCGTCTGTACGTCACTTACTTTGGGGGGAGTGAGGCCGCAGGTTTGGAGCCCGACCTGGAGTGTAAACAGATCTGGATCGACCTGGGGTGAGCTCTTCTCTGTGCAGCTCATTTTAGTTCTTTTACTTTAAAATGTACTTTTCCTTCCTCACTGCAGAAGTAACATCAGCCGTGTTCACTGTCTTAATGTCAGGTCATATCAGTCAGTAGTGGTGTGTATTGGAAAGAATCTGGCGTATTACAATACAGCAGCAAAGATACAATATATTGCAATACTATAGGTGTCGCGATATATAGTTTGGTTTTTTGGGGGGTTTTTGTTTAATTTTAGTAAAACAGCATAAATATAGGCGTGACGATATATAGTTTGGTTTTTTTTTGTTTGTTTAATTTTAGTAAAACAGCATAGAAAACACACAATCTCCATTTGTAATCACTACAGAAGAAATATAATAATAAGTTGATATCATGCTGCAGAATATCGATACGATTTTCTCACACCCTTATCAGTCTGTAAAAATAACAATACAGGAGTATCAAAAAAGTTTTAGTTTTTCTAACAAGCTCTATTAGATCGAGTGTTTTAACTATTGTATCATTGAAGCCTTCTTGTACCCTCTACTGGCTGCTGGTAGTAAATGCTGGCTTCTTGTTGACAGATAAACCTCTCCTCTCCACCAGGGGGGAGTGGTTGTCACCACAGAGTCGTCACTTTGACGGTTGCTGGAGTAGACAGTCAGATGTATTTTTGGATGATTTTTTTTTTGTCACATTTAAGTTGCTGGTGTTGTTTACAACCACTCGCTTGGAATTTTACCGCCCGCTCCATCTCTTTTGGGACTCTTTCCACGACGACTCCAGAATTTATCGAAAGCTCTGTTTTTCACTGAGGTTGCATTAAACTGCAGCCACCGTGCAGCTTCTCTGGTTCAAAGTAATTGCATAATGTTGTGATATCGCTCCCCGGGGAACTTCCGTTTTTGTTCTTCCCAAAGTCCCACTTAGTTCTCACAAAAACAGCCCAGATGACTGTTTTTCACTTCTGCTTCAACTTCGCTTCTTCTACTTTTTATCTTGACATGAAAGAGTTTCTCCCCGGTCCATCTGAAGTCACTTTGTCTTTGACGTTGGACACATTGGTTATCAGTCATTTTCTGTTAAAAATATAATATGTCAACAACTCTCGTGGCCACATGGTGGCAGAAGTGATCAGTACTTAGACCAAAGAGCAAAGATCATCGGATGGTTCAATTCCACATTCTTTTTTTTAAATGTAAAGTTGGCATACAGGACCTGAGAACTGTCCAGGGTGTAACCCCGCCCTCTACTGACGATTTATGGAATTCTCTACACCTCCACCGCCATAAAAAAAATGAATGAAAAGTCAATAAATAATTGCCATGTGTCACCTTTTTTTATATGTAAATTTTGTATTTTCAGTCAGTTTAAATAATTTATGTTTATAAATAATTTTCAAACGTGTCTTTGTGCTGTCATTGACAGAACGAGGTCAGTTGCTCTAGAAAAAGACGTGGGATTTTTTTTTAATGTTTTTTTTTACCAAAATATGTCTTTTAATGGGCTAACTGAGTGTTCTGAATCCTCTGTAGAATGGACGAGGCTCGTGTCCTCCCTGGCAGCATGAAGGACAACTTCTGGGAGATGGGAGACACCGGCCCCTGCGGCCCCTGCAGTGAGATTCACTACGACCGTATCGGAGGAAGAGACGCCTCTCACCTGGTGAACATGGACGATCCCAACGTCCTGGAGGTCTGGAACCTGGTCTTCATCCAGTTCAACAGGTAACACGTCTTCAAAGTAAAGGTCACGTACTTAAATATATGTCACAGATACAACCTGAGAGTGAAATTTAAAAAAGTAAATTAGAAAAAAAAAAGTAATATCCCTGCAGTACACTACACTATCCACTAGGTGGTTCACTGTTCTGCCAAGTGAAGACTCTTGACGGACATTGATGAAGTGATAGGCAGTGGTCCAGAGCTGAAATCCTTCTGTTTGTCCTCAGAGAGTCGGAGACGGAGCTGAAGCCTCTGCCTAAGAAGAGCATCGACACAGGGATGGGTCTGGAGCGTCTGGTGTCTGTGCTGCAGAACAAGATGTCCAACTATGACACCGATCTCTTCATCCCCTACTTTGAAGCCATCCAGAAGGTACGTCAGGGCTCCACCTGTAGGTGGTGTGAAGAAGAAGAAAGCGGTGAAGACTAGTTAGTGGCTCATTAACCAGTTGAATGTGTGTTTCTCCAGGGCACCGGGGCTCGTGCCTACACTGGTAAGGTCGGTGCTGAGGACTCCGACGGCATCGACATGGCCTACCGTGTACTGGCTGACCACGCCCGCACCATCACCATCGCCTTGTCTGACGGAGGTCGCCCTGACAACACAGGAAGAGGGTGAGACGATGAAGACAAAATCTGTTCTCTGTGCTCCTTGATGGTTAAAATGAGTCTCTCAGATCTGTTAGTGTAAACGTGAACATGTGACTTTTGAATTGTGTTATTGTGAACCTACCAGCAGGGCTCCCAAATGTATGTGACTTTTGAATTGTGATACTTTGAACCTACCAGCAGGGCTCCCAAATGTCCTGGATTGTTAAAAAAAACAAAACAATTCCAGTCATGGAAAACACATAAAACACAAAAAATCTCAGTACTTATATCTGGTTGTCATTTTCACCTTGTGCAGCTACGTGCTGAGGAGGATCCTGCGTCGTGCGGTCCGTTACGCCCACGAGAAGCTCGGGGCTCAGAAAGGGTTTTTTGCCACCTTGGTTGACACGGTCGTCGCTTCCCTGGTGAGAAATCACTTTACTGACTTTGTCACTGGAACTAAAGGTCGATATTATGGTCCTCATTTCAGACCAGGTCTAAAACTCTCCAGCTCCAGTCTGTCCTCCATCACTGTCCACCTCCACCTGCTTACACACCACCGTCTTCTTTCTCCTCTTCAGGGAGAAGCTTTCCCAGAGTTGAAGAAAGATCCAGAGATGGTGAAGGACATCATTAATGAGGAGGAGACGCAGTTTCTCAAAACCCTCAGCAGGGGGCGCCGTATCCTTGACAGAAAGATCATGAGTCTGGGAGAAAGCAAGACCATCCCAGGTGAGAGCCAGAGAGGACAACAGTATTTTTAATATTGCTATATAACAGTTGCTATTTCTCTTTTTATGGTGTGTTATTATTTTTATGTTATATTATTTTTTACGTTTTATTTGATATATATATATTATATTAATATCGGCCCACCTATACTATTGTCCCCATATATGCATAATGATCTGTAGTTTTGGTTAAAAACTGCTGTACATAAAAGTGAAAGCCACTGGATGGCAGCACTGCAGGTTATTTTAATAGTCAGGGGATCGTATATAGGATGCTGGTGGCAGCAACTCAATATAACTTAACTTCCTTAACCACCAGGCCTCCACTGCCCCACTATATCGGTATTGGTTGATATCGGAATCGGAAATTAACTAGTTAATCCCCAATTTATATTGTACCACGCCTCTTCTGCAGCAGGTGTTGTGTCCTTTGAGGGAATAAAAAAACATCTCTCTGTGGATTGAAGGACATATGACTCAGAGTGGAAACCAGGGACTGGGTTTACAATGCCGCCCAGAATAAACAGGGTTTTCTGGGATTCTTTGGAAACAACCTCCAAAGTTCTTCAGTTTTAAATGATGCCAAGTTCTTTTTCTTTTTTTTGCCTGTCCCGAGGGATGAAAGCGTCCAATCTGTCAGATTACGACACCAACATCACTTTGTCTGGCAGATGGTGTCCTTGCGAAGATCCATTGTTCTGAATCATCATTAGAATTGTTTACTTTTTAACTCGATGACAAAAGTCTCCAAGCACAGTAGCTCCAGACGGATGTCTCTGTTTTCTCCTCCTCCTCCTCCTGCTGCTGCTGCTGCTGCTGCTGCTGCTGCTGCTGCTCAGGCTGCATACCAACCACAGTTTCCTGTCTCCGTCTGTCCAGGTGACACAGCGTGGCTGCTGTACGACACCTACGGTTTCCCCCTGGACCTGACCTCCCTCATCGCAGAGGAGAAAGGCATGGCAGTGGACCTGGCTGCGTTTGAGGAGGAGAAGAAGGCAGCACAGGTGGGTGGATGGATGGATGGATGGATGGATGGATGGATGGATGGAGTGATGATGAGAAAACCCAGTGACTGGTTCACTGTGGTGCTGTGAGGTGAAAGCCTGCCCGGGGCTGTGTCTGGTGTCCGCTCCTGTGGGAGCGCTGTTTCTCCCTGCGTCAGCGCTCTGCAGTATTGCACTGTAAGTAAGAAGCAGAGGCAGCTCACCTGCTGTTTGAGTAAATCCTCATTTACCTTGCAGTCCCGTTCTAATCCCTGGTTGTTTGAGTTCCCAGGGTCATTGATTTTTACAGGCTCAGCCCAATAAGAGTTTTAGTAGGAAGTGCACGTGTTAGGGTTGGCTCTGGTTCACTCTGGGACTGAAGACAGTCAACCTGCAGGTTGATTTACAGTCAGTAACCTGGAATTATTGAAATATATTTCACTTGGAAAATCAGTGAAGAAAAAAAATAATTAAATTCCACAGAAACTTTTGCTGCAACAACACACTTCAGTTTAACTGCATATGAATTGATTTAAATCTTACTATTGAAAATACTACATTTGAATTCTATGATTGTAGACACATGTAGGAATTTTACAAACATTATCTTTCAACCAATCAGGTCGTTAGTTTAAACCAGCTGCTTCCCTGTCATTTGATTGGCCACCTACTCACTTTAGTTGAACTTTCAAAACATTTCGACTGGTTTGATCATTTTGGTGGATTTACGTTGGTGATGTCATGAGTCACTGAGTCAAAGTCGTGTCTGCAGCTGAAATCCCAAGGAAAAGGAGCCGGAGACGCAGATCACATCATGCTGGACATCTACGCCATCGAGGAGCTGAGGAACAAGAACGTCCCTGCCACGGACGACTCGCCCAAGTACAAATACACCTCCGACAAAAACGGCAACTACGGTCAGTCAGACGTGACGGCGCCACCTGGGTGTTTCTGCATTCTCTGTACAGGTTGAATATGTGTGTTGACATTCGTGTGTGTGTGTGTGTGTGTGTGTGTGTCAGAGTTCCAGGAGACCACAGCTACTGTGCTGGCTCTGCGCCGTGAACGTGCCTTCTGTGACGAGGTGACCACAGGTCAGGAGTGCGGCGTGCTGCTGGACCAGACGACCTTCTACGCCGAGCAGGGAGGACAGACGTTTGACGAAGGCTTCATGCTGCGGGAGGACGACAACACGGAAGACGTAAGTGGAGAGGGAAAAAGTAAAATCTCCTGGAAACCTTGTAGTAAATTTCTGTTGGTTATGGTGTGAGACCATGTGACATTCCCAGCCAATCAAAATCAGACATCACCTCAGAACAACTCTTTGTGGTTAAATGTCACCACATGTTTTCATTTTCGGAGGAAAAACTGATAACGATTTTTACAGATATTACATAATTATGCTAATAACGACTTGCCGGGATTATCAGACATCCCTAGCTGTAAAATACTTTTGAGGAACAGAGTGTGAACCATGTGGTGATGGAATAATTGGTGTTAAAGACGTTACTGTTAGTGTTTAGAAGTTTGATCTGATGAAGTCATTTGACAAAAGTACTCTTTAAATAAGTCCAATGTGTTCAAACCTCCCTGTTAAAAACAGTGTAAAGAAGAAAAAATCTCATTAGTTTTATCTACAGACTCCCAAACTGAATATGAGTCACACTGTAAAAATGCAAAAGGAAAAAAAAAAAACACCATAAAAGTTCCCGGAGCTGAAACATTGTTTTTACGTCTAACTGTGTGAAAAAGATAATTAGACGAAATCATCTCCACAGCCCACTCTTTATTGTCGTCTTTATTGGGCTGTCGACTCAATCTGGAAACAGTGGCTGCGAAAAAAAAAAAACAATAAAGAAATCACATTTAACTGAAGGAGACATCGTTTATTTCTACTGCTGGTGAACAAGAGCCTAAAATTGAACAGGGAGACGACGGTATCTCAGTCTGCAGACGGCCGTCTCATCAGTCCAACGACGAGTCTTTCTCGACGTCCTCGCCGTTCTTTGAGGCGACGCGTCTTTGTTCCACGGAACGAGTCGACGCTTTAGAACTGTCGATGAGTGGGTGACAAAGGAGAAGAAGACATTTTATTTCTGACACATTAGAAAACTTTCTGACTGAAACAAGGTTAATGTGTTCTTCAGTCTGTCGCAGAGACACGACTCTGACTGTGTGTGTGTGTGTGTGTGTGTGTGTGTGTTTGCAGAGGATGGAGTTCACAGTGAAGAACACACAGGTGCGAGGAGGTTACGTTCTCCACGTGGGCACCGTCTACGGAACCCTGAAGGTTGGAGACTCCGTGGTTCTTCACGTTGACGAGGTGAGTCGTGTGCATGTGCTCCAATCTAAGGCTTGCGAGTCACGTGTGGTCCGGTCCGTCTTTGACCCTCGTCGTTAACCCTTTCAAATCCCCCTTCAGGCTCGTCGCAGACTCGTCATGAGCAACCACACGGCCACGCACATCCTCAACTTCGCCCTGAGAGGAGTCCTGGGGGAGGCCGACCAGAGGGGCTCCCTGGTCGCCCCCGACCGCCTGCGTTTCGACTTCACCGCCAAAGGCGCCCTCAGCACCGGCGAGATCCGACGAACTGAGGAGATGGCATGCGCCATGATAAGAGATGCTAAGGTCAGGTTTGAAAAAAAAAAAAAGAAAAGAAAAGTGTTTAAACTGTCCTCCGTGCTCTGGCTCAGCTGTAAAATTTAAACTCTCCTCCGTGCTCTGGCTCAGCTGTAAAATGGATGAGTGATTGAAGCAGAACTGCATAAACGGAAGTGTCTCTCATCTCCATGCAGCAGCTCGTCTTCATCCTGATCTCACATCATCGTGGTCATTTATTTCTACATCAATCTTGCAGCCTGTCTACGCCATGGAAGCCCCTCTGGCAGCTGCCAAGGCCATCCAGGGGCTGCGCGCCGTGTTTGACGAGACCTATCCCGACCCCGTCCGAGTCGTGTCCGTCGGCATCCCCGTCCAGGACCTGCTGGACGACCCCAACAGTGCTGCTGGCGCCCTGAACTCCATCGAGTTCTGTGGAGGAACGTGAGTAGGATGCTGAAGAACTGTTGGATGTGAACCGCCAGTCACTCAGTTTTTTTTAGTTTTTTTTTTTCACCCTCCATCTCAGGGCTTTATATATATTTTCCTTGCTGCCAAAGTTAATATCCAGCCCTGCCCAAGTGGACAAACATCAGAGTCACGATGCTGGGTTTAAAAGTCTGGTCCTCGAACACTAAATTCTCCTAAAAGTCCAAATGATCTCGTCTGATTCGCTGACCTTCAGTCTGTTTGGAAAAACACCAGCTTTGTTTGAAGGCTCTTACAGCGACTCTCACCTCAGCTTTTTAGTCTGTTTGTTTTTAAACAGCTTTTTCTCCCAACATCCTCCCCCTCCTCCCCCTCAGTAAACTCTCGTCTTCACTGCCTCCTACTACTTTTGCTCCTCCCACACTGGGAGTTGAGATGGTAATTTGAGCTTGTGCGAAACAAAAGCTTTTTCTATGGTAATGTGTCGTCTCCTGTTTTTATTTATTTATTTATTTTTCCTCTCCCTCCGACTATCTCCAGCCATCTGCAGAACTCGGGTCATGCTGCGCCATTTGTCATCGTCTCCGAGGAGGCCATCGCTAAGGGCATCCGTCGTATCGTCGCCGTGACGGGAGCAGAGGCCCAGAAGGTTAGAACACACACACATTTGTGGAATAGAATTCAACAGTTTTTGTTTTTTTTTCGTTGTGTAGATTTAATAATAAATGATGAAACTGTTGCTGATTGATAACCTGCCAGGATGTGTGTGTGTGTGTGTATGTGTGTGTGTGTGAGGGACAGTGTCTCTCGGTGGTCCCTGCCGAGGGACCGTCACCTGGTGATCAAACTTTGATTAAACTAATTTTTGACTCGCTGTGACCTTCTGGCTGAAGGACAAAACAATCATTTTTTCATTTGAAGACAACAGTCATTTCTGTCAGGCCCTGAGGAAAGCCGATGCCCTGAACCAGGCTCTGTCCGACCTGGGAGACAAAGTGAAGCAACAAACCGCCCCCAACAAGGACGTCCAGAAAGACATCGCCGACATGAACGAGGTGAGACATCGGTCGTCGAAACAGAGGAGAGAACTCAGAGAAACAGAGCGCAGCCCCCGTCACGTCTGTCCATCTGTCTCTCCAGTCCATAGGCACCGCAGTCATCTCCCAGTGGCAGAAAGACGAGATGAGGGAAAACCTGAAGGCCCTGAAGAAGACCATGGACGACCTGGACAGGAACTACAAGGCCGACATCCAGAAGAGAGTCCTGGAGAAGACCAAGGAGGTGATCGAGAGCAGCCCCAACCAGCAGCTGCTGGTCATGGAGATGGAGACGGGAGCCTCCGCCAAGGTCAGACCACGGACCACCTGTTTATTGGCTATATGTTACAGTTAGTCTTGTCTGACTGTAGAGGGGGCTGTTGAGTTGATGTGAGCGTTTTCTCTGCAACAGCACATTATCACCACGGCTGTCAACTGGATAGTCATTTGATTGATCGTGATTAATCACGATTATTTGAGATAAATCTACATTCTTAAATATGACAAAAAAAGATCATCTGTATATTGCTGGTCCAGAAAAACCAATATCAGCAGGTAGAGGTCAGTGTTTCTCACCTGGTTTTATCTGTGACTAATCCAAAATGATGGAATGTAAAATGTCATTATGTTATTATTATAATTTATAAATCTGGAAAAATGTCATTATGTTATTATTATAATTAATTAATTATATTCTATTAATTAATTAGTTAGTGCGGTCGTTTTGACCCATTTAGTTATAATGTTGGACACAGTTAGTGCGGTCATTTTGACCCATTTAGTTATAATGTTGGAGCCAGAACCTTGGAATCTTTTGGATCCAGAAACGGCTAAATCTTTTTTACATCCATAGAACTGTTCCAAACACTGTAGCTGACGGTACATCGTCTGTTGTTACGACAGTGAAACTCCAGCAGCTTTATTCAAATCCAACCGAACAAATTGTTGACGACTTCATCGGAGGTTTTCACAGCTCCGACCTGATTAGAATTCACTCCGCGTCTGCAGTTTTGCACATTTTCCTCGGCAGCGTCTGGAGGCTTATCTGGGTTCCATTGTTGTTGCCAAAGGACCAATTGGGTTCTGTGGTCCATTAGTTCTGACCTTGAGATTCTTCAAGTGCTGATTAGAGGAATTTAAATCCACTCCATTGTTTTCTCCTGCTTCACTCCGTCTTCCTCTGTCGGTCCCTCAGGCTCTGAATGAGTCTCTGAAGCTGCTCAAGTCCAACTCCCCTCAGACCGCCGCCATGCTCTTCACTGTAGACCCCGACGCTGGGAAGATCACCTGTCTGTGTCAAGTCCCTCAGGTGAATCCAAATCCACTTCAAAAGTTGGTCACAAGAAAACTCTGTTGTCAGATCTAACCTTTAACCTTTTAACTAACTCTACAGGACGTGGCCAACCGGGGTCTCAAGGCTAGTGAGTGGGTCCAGGAGCTGTGCCCCCTGCTGGACGGCAAAGGAGGCGGCAAGGACATGTCGGCCCAGGCCACGGGCAGGAACACGCAGTGCCTGCAGGAGGCGCTACGGATGGCCAACGAGTTTGCACAACTGAAGCTGGGAGAAAACTAAGAGGAGAAAATCAAAGCGGGACGATGACGAGAACAGGAAATTATGATGATGATGATGTCGGGAGAACAGCAGGAAACCAGGTGGTGGTTCAGAAATACTGAGTTAGAAACGGTCCGTCCCATTCCTTCAACCTCCTTGTCTTTGTCTCCTCTCTGTTTTTGACATAATCATAATGAAAACATAATGAAACGCTGCTGACGCTCAGCTAAAATAAAATGAGCCACTTTTTGTTTGTCAAAAAAGAAAATCATGGCCGACTTCTCCATTCCCATCTCTAGAAATGACTTGTTGTAACAGACATGTCACTCGGTGCAGATGACAAATTATTTTTAATAATGTTTTGTTTTTTGTGAGCATGTCGTCACTGAATCCTGGTGAAAGAACAGATGAAGAAGTTCTCATCTCATTTAAAAACCACTCTCTGAGCTTCTCCAGACAAAAAGAAAAACATAAAAAAAAAAATTTAAAAAAAAAACTAAAAACCTGGTCTCAATTGGTTCATCTACGTTTACAGGCTGAAGCCGCGGGTTGGTCCGACTCCAAGATAGGTCCAACGTCTCTCCTGTGATGGTTCCATGTCAGTCGTACTTGCTATAGCTGTATGATAGTCTCGCTTTTTAAAAATGATTAAAACTGTATAAAAATGAGAAATTAAAAAATGGTCTCATCGTGAAGAGTTCACGGTTCTGTAACATTAGATATCGATTGGTACAAACGATGTTAACGATGTCTTTCTGTCACTGTAGCTGTGACCAAGTCAGAGAAACATGGGAATAAACGCAACTGGAAAAAAAAGAGCTAATCTCCGAGTGTTGGACTTGACCATCGTCTCCACCTGAACTGATCATCAAAACCTCAGCATCTTCATCTGTCCCTGAACCAGACGTCATAGCAGGTCTCACGACTGCCTCACCTTTCAACTCCCCCTTTTTCTGTCAAACTTCACCCCTGAAACTCTTCTCCAGTCGTTTCACTCTGACTGCAACTTTATTTTCTTCTTCCACCTCTTTTGTGCACTGACTCACAATGAATTGTTTAACAACAAACTCTAGACACACAGAATGTCAAACTCATTCTGGTTCAGGGCCCACATACAGCCTGATTAGATGTCAAGTGGGCCAAACAAGTACCATAATATCAATTAACTATAAATAATAAGTCCATGTTTTTCCCCTTTGTTTTCATGCAAAGAAGTACAAGTATTTTAGAAAATAAAAATATTTAATGAAATATTTTAAAAAATAGCGGGCCAGATTGAGCCCTCTAGTGGTGCAATTTTGGCCCACGGGCCATATGTTTGCCACCCTTGATGTTAGACACTGAATGGTTTGTCTCTGTACGTGGATAAACTGGAGAAGTGTCCAGGGTGAACTGCGACCTGATTGGTTCCCTGTAAAATATTTAGCTGAAGAAAAAGGATGGACGAGTCATTGATTTTTATTTATTTATTTATTTGTTTTGTCCAATTGTTAATATGCTTTTGATGCCAGATCAGACTGAGGTTTTTTATCCACAAGCTTCAATAATTAACCACCACATTAGTGACTGAACCGTCTCCAGGGTCTGAGCCGCTTGTTACCCCGCTCCTCATTTAACAGTTTTTAACCCTCATGTCAGATGAGGCTTTTGTCTTGTGGATCAGCAGCAGCATTGGCAGCAGCAGCAGCAGCAGCTGATCACCCTCCTACTCCTATTACTGTGATGATCCACAGACAGACTGCTGTGGTTCTGCTTCTGTTCACTGAACAACTGCGGCTCATCCCGGCAGGCCGCTGCAGCAGTCTTTTGATTGTGATGCTTTTGTTTTTTTGAGCCATTTTTCACGCCTCCCTCCTCCTCCTCACCCTCCTCACTCCCCCAGCCCCAAGAGCCTGGCTGCTCCATCAAGTTTTTCCTTCATTACCTCTGGATGATGCCGAGCTGTGGAGCAGTGAAGTGGAAAGACGACGGGTGAGGAGACGTGATTGGTGTTAAAGCTCCGTCTCATCACAGTGGAGATGTGATGTTTGTCTCCTCTGACGCAGAAATTGTTTGGTTACAGCAGGAGGCGCTCTCTCTGCAGTTTCAGTGTCTCAGCCAGACAATCAGTAATCAATTCACAGTCACAGTCAGTGAACGCGTCCAGGTTGCCCTGAGACTGACTGGTCATTACACATTAGCCTGAGACTGGGCTGAAAAAGGCAAATATATGTCAAACTAGTGTGAACTAGTGTGAAGAAATGTGATAAAGGCTAGCCATGAAAATAGATAAATAGTTAGCGTTAGCCTACGGATAGCTGTAAAATGTGATAAAGGTTAGCCATGAAAATAGATAAATAGTTAGCAGATAAAAGTTAGTAGTTGGAACTAGGTAAAATACTTACATCTTGTTTAAAAAATCCTAACCTAAACTGTAGCCTTGAACAAGCTTAATGTTAGCCTTGAATAAGCGTTAAGGGTTAGGGAAGTATTGTCGCCCCCTCTTCTTCCAGCCCCATTAGACTACAACTGAAAAAATAAAATTACATTTTATTTTAAAATTTTAAATTTCTATACAGTCACACACATATATAAATTGAACATAGAATATAAAATTACAAAGTTGGGCACTTTTAGTCAAAATAAAAAAATTGAATTAATTTGCTTCTCTGGGCCTCCTTGAGATAGCTTAGCGCCCCCTATTGGGGCTCGCCCCCTTTTGGGAAATGCACCCCTAGAACTAGATAAATGTTACAGGAAAAGAAAAGCCAGCCTAACTGTGATCATGATTTAACTGGCATAAAAAATAGTTTTCTACTAAAACCTGTTGATTTCTGGGTAAAATTGAATTCTGTACCGCCCGCCGGTGTTCTCTCTCTCTCTGTCTCACTGCTGCTCTAAAGATTTAATATTCTATTAATTTCCTGGGCCCAGATTGATTTTTGTCCCACACTGTGAGCTGGCTGGCTCTGACGGAGTTATTTCTCTTGTCTTGGTCCGAGCTCACCAACACCAGCCAATAAGAGCGAATCGATTTCACGCCCAAATACCGTGATGGAATCTCATCTTACTGGCAGCGGATAAAATGGAACAAATAAATTGGTCCAAATGTGAATTTATGACTGTGGAGGCCTGTGATGCCACACACACACACAAACACACACAAAGAGAACAGGTGTGTGAAGATTTATCCCTGTGTTCTGTTAATTTAGTTAGAGCTAGGAAATGCCAGGTGGCGCTGTTATCATCTGAATGGACCACTAACTAGTGTACCATCACCGTATTATCACCTTCTCTGCAGGAGAGACTTTTTGCCTGATTGTCCTCGTTACCATAACAACTGTCATACTCGAAGAGAACAGAAGATTAGCTGCGATGGGAATACGTTTGAATATGTTTCAAATTGAACTTCTTTTTTTTTAATCACTAATGTTTCCACACTGAAATTAGAAATTACTTTTTATAATTTTTTTCTCTCGTATGAATTTCAACGAAAACAAAAACTTGTTTTATTTTTTTAACCCCAGAAGAGTGATTCTTGCCGAGGCAGCCATTTTGGATCCCCGTGGTTCTACTGTGTCCCAAAAAGGACCAGTACAATTGAAACAGGACAATTAACAAATACGTGTAACTTTACTTCACCACTAGATTATGCTAAATATCACAGTTTTCCCAGTGGCGGCAGGTGAAATATATTCTAGGTGGCGCTGTGCCATGTTAAGGCAGTTTCGGCGAGTATCCCAATATTAAAAAGTTGAGGCAACACAAACACACAAATCAACACAAGCTTTACATTTGAAACTTACCATGTAAAAAAAAAATCATATTGACATATTAATGGCGCCATATTAATCGCTATTAAGGCACTAGATTTGACGTCGCTGATTGGTTAAATTTCTGTTGCTATGCGCAAATCTCACTTCAATGATTGGCTGCTGTTTCTAGCGCTCGAGAACTTTCGATGAAGTTCGGCGCGAAATGAGCCGAAATGTATTTTCCCACTTAAAATATGACGATTTTATTATTTTATATTTGAGGTTGTTGTTTGCGGCGCTCAGGTGTGTGTGTGTGTTACGCCGTGTCACAGACTGGAATCAGTTTTAATGTTTTGAGACGAAGACGACGGTTTTTTGGATTACAAGGATTTCTTTTGAATGGAGAGACCAGAACCCGGAGTTTTGGAAGACTTTGTTCCTTTGGACCGTCGTTCTGCGAGGAACCGCTCACTGGAGCAGGTGGTGAAGAAGAGCTGCTCCACATCTGACGTCGACTCCTGACCGGTGAGTCCTGAGAAAACACGAGACTGCTGCGAGATTCACGGTGTTGCTTTACAAAAAATGTTTTTGGTATGAATTCTTGTCAGTTATTTATGCGTTTGCTCTGCTGTTGTTGCTGTTGTAGTTCGGACAGGTTTGAGTCCAGTTCTTCAGTTGTGAAAGTTCTGTCCCAACTTTTTGTTGAAAACCTTTATTCTGTTTGTACTGGTCCATGGTTTGTTACGGCAACGGCTAATTTTTCCAGTAAAAACAAAGACATTTTAAAAAAAATTCGTAATAATAATATGTGGCCCTATTCCACGGACCTGTGGTTTTCCAGCCACCAATGGTTCCTAAAGTTGGGGGCGGAAACCCCGTAGAGGGCCGTAGTTTTTTAAACAAATTACATGGAATTTTAAATAAAATACGGACGAATTTTGAAGCAATGACTCTGAATGTGTGTGTGTGCACGTTAGTGACTCAGAAAACACAAGTTTCAGGCAGAATGGGTTTATTTGTGTCTTTAAAAAAATTGCAAAAAAAGGTAGCCGTGTTGCTAATGGAGCAGCTGTAGATGAGTGACGTCCAGCAGCAGGACAAGGCACGAAAGCAGCAGATGTGTGTCTGAGTGTGTGCGTGGTAGCAGTAAAAACACAAACATGTCCATTAGTCCATCATTGACCACAGCAGACGGACAGACGTCCCTTCAGAGACCAACACTAAAACGGCAGGAAGTACAACAGCAAAACAAAGTCATAAAAGGTTTAAAACCACACAACAGTCAGCAACACATGTGATATTTATAAGCTGAGTAGGCACATTTCTATCCCTCACCTCCTGGGGGCAGTGTAACACTGATCCCTCCTAACACCTTTATATGTTTAGAATATTTGTGAGAATAAAATATATTTCAAATAAAAAAATAATAACAAGGATTAAAAAAAATCACAGCGATGTGTTCCCTTCCCTTGACCTCTGACCTCATACACGAGACATTTCACAAACGGTCATTACAATATAAAGATATAAATGTTTCCGATAAAATACAACAATATAAAGATATAAATGTTTCCGATCCGTGACGAAAACAAAGTTTTATAACTGTAAACAATAATTAACAGGAACACATTTTTAGTATTTAGTTTCCAATCAAAAGTATATATTTTGTTTGGGTTCGGGCACAGGAAATACACTGAAAAAAAAATGCGACATGAATGTCAAGAATGTCTTTACGTAGTACCGATAAACTACAACATTTTGCTGATGACACTGCGGTGTATATATTTTGTTGTTGTTGTTGTTTCAAAAGAATTTTGAAGAATTTCGCTCTAATACTTGACTTGTCGAACACTGTAGGTAATTTTTTTTCTAAATTTAGTCACACCCATAATGGTGTGACTAACGGTGCGTTCAAGGCAAATGTGGAATGAATTTTTCAAACTAGTCTAAAATCAATGCGAAGGCCTGGTGTTTCAGATATAAAGCTGGCCCCTAGGCGGTGGTCTGTGTGACTGATGTGATGGACGCAGTTACATCATACGTCCACTGTGAGTGATCACATCAGCTCGAATATTTTTAACCTCGGAGGATATTCTCTGTTTCATTTCCATTACCAACCATGAGCTAATTATCACCAAAATGACTAATTATCGAAGTCTTTGTAGAACGTGTGTAAAACGTCAGAGAGCAGAGAGAACAGCTGTTGTTCTGTTCACTGTTATGCTGATTTTTAATGTTTTTACAAATCATTTTATTTTGTAATTTCATTATTGCTGGTGCTCTGTCGTTTTAAACCAGAGGTCCCGACCTTTATTCTGTACCAAAGACCAGTCGGCCAGTACCGATTGTTACTGCGGACCGGTTGTTGAATTATCATAAGGATCATTAAATTTTCAAAATAAAACATTTTTTAGACTTCTGTTAGTACCGCAGTCCTAATGACATTATTTTTTATAAATTCCCAGATTATCTTTAAATGAAGAAAGCAAATAGATATGAGTGGATTTTCTTAGAATTAAGTCAATTAGTAAAAAATAAAATACATTTTCTTCACTGTGTCCCACAACCAAATTATTTACGAACCAGTACCAGTGCACGGACCAGAGGTTGGGGATCCCTGGTTTAAATAGTCACTCGAGTTTACCCTAAAATATCCGATATGTCCAATATTGTCGAAACATTTAATTTCCAATTCCGATATAGGCCTGGTAATATTTATTTGTTTATCTGTTCAAACCACTGTATGAGTTCCTGGCACCAACATTCTACATACAATCCCCTGATTATTAAAACAGATGAATAAAATGAGCTGCAACTAGTGACTTCCACTGCTGACGAGTTAAATAGTTCTCAGTTCCAGCAGAGAAGATCTCCTTCAGTCCTAGTTTAAGGTCTTCAGAGGGAGTCAGGAGTCAGGAGTCAGGCTGGTGTGTGTATGGGAGGTGAAAACAAAGCAGGTCTGTCTCGGTCGTTTAAACAGAAAACAAGTCGGTGGAGGAACTGAGTGCAGCGTGTGTGGGAGTGAGAAGCTGCTGCAGATAAACAAGACAGAAGAAACTTTTCATTTTCTCCCTGTCTGAGACACTGCAGCAAAGGGTGTGTGTGTGTGTGTTTGTGTGTTTTAATGCTGGCTTGGTCTAACTGGATCTTCATGCCCCAGCTCCTGGTCTGCACAGCTTCTCTCCCAAATTAGATCCTCGGAGTCCACATGGGGCTTAAACTCTGGTCCAGCAACCAGCCAGCCCCCAAGAACACATCAAATCCCAGGAGCAGAACTTCTGGCCTCATTAGAGTGTCACACAGTCGTCCCCCCCCCATGAACATTTCTATCCGTGAGTGTGTGTGAGAATGAAAGCCGCAGCCGTAGTCCGACGTGTAAATCCGACCGTGTTAGTCTGGCCCAAAGGCAGCTTTGACTGGAATCAAACTGCAAACTCAGAAACCTTGGAAATGCTGGTCAGGATCTACGGAGGTGGGGGGTGGGGGGAGGGGTTAGAAGATGTTTTGTGCTAAAAGAAATTCCCAGAAACGACTTATGGTGTCGCCAACGGTCATCAACGTCGGTGCCAACGAGGCCTTCGCAGACAAACGCTGACATAAAAGTGGAGTTACGACGAGGAGAGCGGCACCGAGGTGTTTGACCTCATGTACGATATGAGAGGAACGATTCTTTCTCCAGTGACGGCCACTGAACACAATGCCCCCCCCACGGCCCCCTGGCTCTAATAGAGCCGTTAAAGTGGTCCTGGCGCCCTCAAAGTGTTTGACATCCCAATAAAGTCTAACGGTGCCACAGGCCACGTCCTCAATCCTGGGTCTGAAGGCCTGCAGGTGTATAAATATCCACAGGTTAGAAGGTGGAGACGAGCCGTAAATCTGCTCTGAGACGTGATGAAGCCGCAGAGCAGGCGCTCGCTCCGCGCTAACGCAGCCGTCTGTGTGGCTTCTGCTCGTTGATTAATGAGCATTGAATCATCGTCAGACGTGAAAATTTTCCGCTGTAGACGGTCCAGGAGCAGAACATCGATTAGAGAGAAAAGTCCCGGAGCTCAGGTCCAGTCGATAATCAGCGTTCGTGGTGAAGCTTCAGTGGGAATGAGATCTGCGGCAGAAGGAATATCTAAGGTGAGCTCCCCTGCTCACTCTGGATGAACTAACCTTCCACCGTCAGGTCTGTCAGGAGGGGGCGCTTTTACCATGCTCCCCACCGAGAAGACGGATCTCTCCATGTGACGAGTCAATCCCGTCTGACGTGTCGGGACTCCGGTTTGGACGGACTTTAAATGAGAGGAGCGTCAACACAGTGAGTTTAAAAGCTACAACGTCTGTCACATTCCCAGCAGGCCTTGCAGTCTCCGCTGCTGCTTATTTCCCGGGGAAAACAGTGATTTTTCTGGCTTTGGCGAGTCGCTCGATGGTCTGAGCTTCGTAGTCGGCATCGTGGACGCCGGTCTTCCTGAACTCCCCGGAGTACCGGTTCTGCTCCCAGTAGTGGTGCCAGTTTCCTCTGCTGTCGGCTCCGAAACCGAAGACATTCACCTGGTGGAGGACCTGGAGTCAGAAGAAGATATTATAACAT